CCCCGCCGAAAAGCTCTTCCGCCCGACGGCCGCGCGCCTGCGGGCGGGAAAGCTGAGGTCCGGCGCCGCGGGGTCAGTGACGGAGGCGGAGTCAGACTTTTGCTAACTCGCTCACTGATCGGAGTGGAAGGAGCTTGGGCGGCGCTTCCCACGCAGAGGCGGTGCGGAGGGGGCTCCAGGCCGCCTCACTGGACGTTGCCCCTTCGCAAATGCCCTCTGCGACCCCGTGGCCTGGACATCGGGACTCGGCCCTCAGGCAGCGGTGTTCTGGTGGATGTTTAACAACCGGCTCTTGGGGGGCTGGTTTGTAAAGTCATTTCGAGTGTAAATACTCCTGGATTTCAAACAACCAGGTCGGCACTCAAGCGGGAGCTGGGAGGACGCTCACAGTCAGCTTGGCACTGCTATGAGTGTTGTAGCCGCCAGCCCCGGATAGACACACAGAACACCAGAAATCAGTGAGTTACAGGTAACACACTCTTTATTCAGCCAGCTGGGTCTGCCAGGGGTACGCAGACCCCAAATTAAGCAGCCCCGAAATGTAGAGGTACAGGGTTTTTAAGCCCTAAATCCCATTCCTCATTCTGTCTGAACACAAAACTCTATCTTCTGTTTCCTGTCAACCCACAGGTAGGTTGTGCAAGCGGGGGTACAGAAGCAGAAGGCTCATTGTTAGAATGTTATGTTCCCATGGGCGATAGCCAAGCACTAATTTCCAAGCAGTAATTTTCCAGCCAGCACATGAGCTGCTTCAGGGCAGCCCCCTACTCCCTAAGACCTCTGCCGCCTCTCCCCATGGAGCTCTAAGGCAGGACTGGCCCCCAATGCCCCGAACATTCAGCCTGCACCTTGTCCCCAGTCTCACCCGCCACCTGCAACATCTTCCACTGTGGCTCCAGTTGGACTCTTAAGTGCCTCAGGGCCTGCATGTCCTCTGGAGAGGCCATGGAGAAGGGACCTGGGCTGGGGGGTGCCTCTCCATGCAGCACCCGGACCAGGACCCCAGCAAGCTGGGGTGAGGATTCCTGAACCTGGAGCAGAGGGTGAGAGCAGCGAGTCACAGATCTCCCCCTCCCAGCCCACCACACATCCACTCTGCCCAGCTCACCTCATCCACAAGGGCCAAGACTCGGCCCCCTGCTGGCACCCGCAGCAGTGCGGCCAGGAGTGCAGCCTGGGGTTCCTGCAGGCCATGGGCTGGTCCCAGTGCCAGCAGCACCAGGTCGGGCTGGAAGCCATAGGCCAGGGGCAGCACCAGGGCCAGGATGCAGTTCAGGAACCCACCAGTTGTCTGTGGGAAGGACAGCAGCATAGCCCCAGCCCCTCATCTAGGGGACACCCCTCCTGCCAGCGCAGGCCACCACACCGCCCAGTCTTGGGTAAACAGCCACACCAACAGTCCCATCAAGAAGCAGAGAAAGGCAGGTAAAAGCCAGGGGCCTGGCTCTCATGATAAGGCCAGCGAGCAGCCACGGCCCGGCCCTGTGATGCCACCACTCACCTCTGGCAGTGGCACGGAGATGTGGCATGTGGACAGGGCCGCCGCCTCCTTGCCCCCGATGTTCAGCCACAGACTCCTCCTTCCAGGGGAGAGTGAGTGCAGACACGTATGCATGTGGGTGAGACGCCACGAACCCTCCAGAGCCCGACAGCGAGAAGGCGCAGGAGAGCTCGAGGGTAGAGGTGCTGGGAGTGCTGAGTCTCTAGTGGAAACCCTCCCGGCACTGCTCTCAGGGGCCCCTCGGCCAGCCCCACCCATCACTCCTGGGAACCCAGGGTGATGTGTCCGCCCACATGCAGGACTGGACATCACATGACCCAAGAGTCATACTCATCAGCAGCAAGGTCCAAGGGCCGATCCAGTTGTCCCACGGCCACACACAGCAGCCTGGAGGAAGAGCTGGCTCCAGAACAGGCTGCACACACCCCACCTGGAGCCCATTCCCAGAGCCCTCCCCACATGGCCAGCCAGGGGTGCCCATGAACCATGCCCTCGGAGGCTCAGCTCAGCCAGCTGAGGCTCACCTCTGGAATCCCTGGGACAGGCCGCGCTGAATGGCCACATCCAGGGTGGCAGCTGCAGCAGGGGCCGGGATGGCTGCAATGCCGCTGCTCACCTGTGGGATGAATAACAGCGGCAACTCCCAAACCAGGTAAACAGAACTACCAGTCCCTTCTTTTGGTTCCTGTCTCAATGACTGTCACCTGTACACTCTGAGGTCAAATTGCTCCACTTCTGATAATAAGACGCTTAAATCACGGCCTTCCTCTCTCTGCCAAAGAGCATTTAGTTGAGGGGACTGCAGGGGGTGCTCGTGACCCTGTCCCTGGGCACTGTTCTGGGAAAGGCCCTGGGCACAAGGCAACACTCAAGGTCCATGTGGTTCTGCACCTCTCAGCCCTCCCCTGGATAGGACACCTGTCATGGGAAGGTCCTGGGCCCTACCCCCAGCTCCACAAGCAGCCCCAGCCACTCCAAGGTGCTCCCACCTGCCCATCCAGGATCCCGTCCAAGAGGTGCAGGACCTTCCCAAGTGCAGTGAGGGTCTCATCCTTGGCCAGGACCTCGTGTAGACTGTGGTGGCAAACCAGAGGGACACATAGATTCAGGGTGACATGCAGAACACAGGTGAGTCACACAGGGTGCATGGTGGACACAGCCCTCTCCCCAGCCTATTCTGCCCACCTGGCCCAGGCCTGCATCTCCTTCTGTGGGGCTGACCCCTCCTGACGAAGAGTATCAGGGGGCAGGGCAAGGGCAGTGTCCAGCGCAGTCAGGGCAACGGCCATGCGGACAGGGGGCGTGGGATGGAGACGCAGCTGGTCCAGCAGGGAGCTCAGTGCTGCCTCGGCCTTGGCTGCTGCAGCCTTGAATTCGGGCCCCTCAGGCAGCAGAGTCGAGGGCCTCCCCTCTGGAGAGTACGTGCTGGGACTCCGGATAGGCATCATGTCTGAAAGGTGGTTCTGAGTCACAGCCACTGCCTAGGAGCCCCAGGTGCAGGTGTGATCCCAGCACCCAGCCCAGGCCACACCGACCTTGCTGCTGGAGGCTCGTCCAGTGAGGGGCCTGGGCTGCCCGCACACTCTGGATGGACTCCAGGGCGCTGTGAGGAGAAGCAGGCACGGTGAGGCCTGGCCTTGCACTCCCGGCCCTTCCCACCCTCCTGCTCTCGCACCTGTGATGTGGCACCATGGGTCCCGACAGGGGTGGGGCGGGATCACCCAGCAGGGCCTGCACCATCATACACACCGACAGGGAGAGCGACTCCAAGTGGTAGCCGCCCTGGAGAGAGGGAGGAGGGAGGAAGACAGAGGCATGACTGGGGCAGGGGTGTCATTGGGCAGCAGGCCCCTCTGACTGCACCTCAGCCTCTGGCCTGTGGGCCCTCTCTGCTTGCCACAGTCACCTCCAGCATGGCGCAGACCCGGCCACCAGCTAGCACCTGCAGCAGCTGCGTGAGGTGGGCGAAGCACTCTGGTGTGGCCTGCATCTGCCCCTGCAACCAGAGCAGGTGTGACGGGCCTGGCCACAGGACCCCGGAAGCCCTCCCAGCCCGGCCAGGCCCTCACCTCGGGATCCCCGATTGCTGAGTCAAATCCTGCCGAGACCAGCACCAGTTCAGGGTCAAACTGTGGGCGGGGCCGATGCGTAGGGGTGAGGGGAAGGCCCCTCCACAGAGACCCTCCCACCCTCTGGCCTCCGCTCTGCCCTGGTGGAGTGGGGGTGGCTTCACCTCTCCCACCCTCCTGCCAGGGAGACCAGCCTGCCCCCCACACAGTCACCTCGAAGGCCAAGGGCAGCAGCACGTGCAGGAAGGCGGCCACGTAGTCAGCATTTCCCAGCCCGACCTGCAGCCATGGGCATCAGCATTGGGCCCTGCCAGGGGGCTGCAGGGTCTTCACCCCTGGATCCCTGGCAGGATGCCCTAAACTACAGTCAAGCCGGGAGCGGTGGGGCAGGAGATGTGGGCTAGGAGGGGCTCTGGGGGATCGGGGCGACATGTGGCACCTGGTTCCACGGCAGGTTGACTGTGAAGCCTCGGCCGGGCCCCCGCCCGACAGCGTCTGCGTCAGACTCCCGCAGGTGGGGCCAGCAGCGCCCGTGCTCGTAGCGGTGCCAGGAGAAGTAAAGGACGCTGGGGGAACCAGCCAGGCTCAGAGGTCAGGACCCTTGGCACCATGGCTCCTCCCAGAACCGTGACCCTGGAGCACACGGCCATGTCTTCCTGATCGGATTTTTCCAGGTCAGGCTGTATGCCCCAAAGAATGAGGTCCCAGGGAAGGGTTGTGTCCCCACCCCCAGCTCACCTGGGATCGTCCTCGAAGATGTACTGGATGCCCTGGCCATGGTGGATATCCCAGTCCACGATGAGGATCCTGGGGACAAATGGCAAGGGGCTTGCTGAGGGATGGGGCCCCCACCTGCAGCCAGAGCCCCGCCCAGGATGGGAGGGCAGGGTGGACTCTCAGCAGCCAGCCCCAGCCCCAGCCCCACCTTGGGCCTCCCCGACTGTGGCCGCCCAGCACACACCTGTGCAGCCCGTGTTTCTGCTGAGCGTGTTTGGCTGCTATGGCCACGTTATTGAACACGCAGAATCCATTGGCAGCAGCCCTCTGGCTGTGGTGCCCAGGAGGCCTAGGGTTGAGAGTGGACCACATCAGGGTCATCCTGATGTGCCCACATGTGGGGGCAGCCAGTGCGGGGGACAGCTCTCACCTCACCAGGGCAAGCCCGTTGCGCACAGTTCCTGTCAGCACCGCATCCACCAGCTGCAGCCCGGCCCCCACAGCTAGCCGCGCACAGTGGAAGGTGCTCTGTGGGGCGGGATGCAGATGAGCCCCCCAAGCCACCCCTCACAGACTCCGCCCAGGCCTGTGCCAGGCTGCAGGGCACCAAGGAGTTCGTGCAATGAGCCAGGAGTCCCAGGTGCCAGCAGCAGCAGCCAAGGGGAGGACAGTGACCGGGGTCAAATGGGCACATGGAAGTGTGTCTGGATGGGTGACTGTGTCCCCAGGGCACGCACCGGATGGAAGTAGACGGCATCATACTGTCCAGACAGGGCCTTGAGCGCTCCCGTGCCCAAGGCCTGAGTCTCCCGCAACAAGGCCACGTACTCTGGGCTGCAGAGGGGCAGGCAGGCAAAGCAGCGTCACCAGCGGGAATGGGGAGAGGAGAGGATAGACCCCGGATGGCAGTGCCCACCTCGTTGCTCCCTCACCCACCCACCCAATGGGGAAACTGAGGCATGTTGTGGAGAGGCGCTATTTGCAAGGCACTGGCCAGCCAGGGCGGGCCCAAGTCCTAGGCCGCATCCTTGTGGCCAGCCCAGGGGCTGACCTGTGCACCAGGCCCAGCTCTGCCTCTGAGGCCTCTCGGGCTGCCAACCGCAGGCACCTCTGCTCCAGGCCACGCTGCCGCAGGCGTTCCAGGGTGGTGGTCAGGCGCTCAGGACACTCGATCTCGCACTCGGGGCTGAGTGGACAGAGAGCTCAGAATCCCGAGACCCCTCTCCACAGCCCCCCTGCCAGGTCACACTTACTCCTCCCAGAGCAGCCTGGCCGCTGTCATGTCCTCGTGATACACGAGTGCAGTTCCCATGGCCCAGCTGTGGTCACTTTAGGCCACCCTGGACGGAAGGACCCAGGTGGCCCCACGCACAGGTGAGTGTATTGCTGGACCCCACCTTGCAGCCCCAGGGAGCAGCGCGACGCTAGGGTCACGACGGGGGCGGCGGGGACAGAGCCTAGGCAGGAATACGCAGAACCCAGGCAGGAAGAAGGCCTCGGGCTGCAACTGGCGCCAGAGAGAGTCTGGGGTCAACAGAGCGGCACCCGGGGCCTGGCTTCCGGCTTCCTCCGATTGGGGCCGGTACCGTCCCGCCCCCTGGCCGCTCTAGCGGCGGCTCCACCTCCTCCCCCGCCGGGGCCGGGTTCACAGCGGCGCCATCGGTGCGCAGTGGGCCGAGCCCCCTCCGCCCCTCCTTCCCGACCCACCCTGGCCGCGCGGCCGCGGCTCGGAGAAACGCTGCGAGGAAGGGGGGCGGGGCCCGGGTCCGCCCGGCGGGGGGTCGTGGCTTAGCCCGGCCTGGGCTGCACCGACGCGCTGAGCGGCCGCCGGGGTTTTAGTAGGGAGTGACAAGGGTCCGATTTAAGCTCCTGGAAGACCCCTGGCCAGAGAGCGGATGAGTGGGAAGGCCAGGGGGTTGGCAGGGAAGCTGGGCAGGAGTCGCCGAGCGTGGGGCGAAGGGAAGGAGGACGGAGAGGGAGGGACTGGGCGAGGGATGAATGAGGCCAGCAAAGGGGAAGGCGCGGGCACAGTCACAGAACAAGACGGCCAGAGGGATGGGGCAGCCGGGAGCCGCGAGGCTGAGACCCAGGGGCCCAGGGGGCGGGGCGTGAGTGGTGGTCTGGGGACCAGGCTCTGGGGGCGGGTCTCTTGGAGGCGGGACGTGGGCGGGGTCCTGGAGTCTGGGAGTCGGGACCTGGAGCCGGAGTGACCCCAGTCACGTTCCTTGGTCTACCCAGCACTTCAGGGGAGACCTCCACGGTGAGAGGCATGCAGACGACGGCCCAGACAGGGCCCCGCCCCCTCTGCCTCGTGTGGGTTCCCACTGTCTCGGTCGCGGGACCTGCTCGTGAGGCAGCGTGCTTACCGCCGGGGCTCTGGGGCGACTCTAATTGGGGAGATCACGGTGGCGAGGCATGGCGTGCTCTGATTGGCCATCCTGGGACACGTGGCCTCGAAGGGCGTGGTCTGGCTGGACCGCCCCTTTTGGATCCGGGAGAGCGAGAGTCACGGCAGGGTTGGGTCCCAGAGGCGCGGGAAAGTCTCTGGGCAGAGAAGGCTGGTGTCCACTGTGGCACTTCGCCCAGCCGTATTTGGCTGGACCGACTGTGCGCGTGTTCAGCCGAATTCCAGGCCGTGAGAAGGTCGGCCTGGCCCCGCTTCGGGCGCACCTACCCAGAGGTCAGGGAGGAGGAGCCAGGGAGGCCGCAGGAGCCCAAGAGTGACTTGCGATCCGGCGGCCAGCTCTCAAAGACCTGGAATGGCCAACAGAGGGCCCCGCGGCCTCAGCGGTGGCGCTGGAGCGTGGCCGGGGGAGGGGCAGGAGGTTTGAAGAGAAGAGGACCCACCCTTCCGCTGAGCCACCTGTGCAAAGGCCTGAGGTGCCTCTATGCGTCTAGCGTGAACCCTCTTCCCTAGGAACCTGGTCTGGGAGTGTGCGCAGAGCTCAGGCAGCCGGCTGGTACTGAGCCCCAGGCTGCACCCTAACCTCCGCCCCCATCAGGCCTTGCCCAAAAGTCTGGCTCTAGAAGCAGGTTACCCCATTGGAGGGGTGGCAAGCCCTAATGTGGGGGCTCCAGGCTGGAGTTTCACTGGCGCAGATGGGGTAGGTGGACACCAGCTCTGTGACCAGGAGGGGAGGGTGTGCCCAGGCCCAGAGGGGACAGCAGCCCCGAATCAGGAAGCGAAGCCAGAGTGGGAGCTGCAAAGGGTTTATTTCCTCCCGGCCGCGTGTACAATTCACACTCCAGGCTGGGGGTGCAAGTCCACAACACCCCCCAGGAGAGACATCCCTGAGTCGGCGTCCTGCGCCCTCCCTGTCCTCAGCCACAGAAGCTGGGCCACAGCCCAGTCCAGAGTGGGCAGGGTTAGAAGCCAGGCCTTGATCCCAAGTCCTACCCTACCCCACCCCAAGGTTCTTGGGCTTCTCAGGGACTCGGAGGCCAGCCCCAGGCCAGGTGGTGTCCTGTCCAGAATGTGCAAATGCTCCCCAGGGTGAGGCCTGAGCAGAGCACGGGCCTGGGGGAGGAGCCCCATGCAACACGGAGTCTCCTGGCACCCAAGCCCCAGCCAAGTTCACGGTCGTAAGCAGGATCCCCTTCCAGGTAGAAGCCCAGCCAGGGTCCCCAAGGCGTCCCCACCACCCTGGCAGGGCCCAGCGTCTTCACAGGGCTGTCTCCTTAGAGGCCTTGGCCCCCAGCTGCCGGGGAGGCTTGAAGCTGAGAACTTCCTTATATGTGACACCTGGGTGGGGTGAGAGAGACAGACTGAGGGGCTGATCACCCATCGGAATCAGCTTCTACCGCCGCAGGCACTAGACACCGCACTGACCAGTGATGAGACCTACAAGAGTCCACTTGGGGGAGGGCTCCCAGGCCCCAAGCATGGGCTGACAGCCACCGACCCAGGGCCCCACTCATCCCAAAAACATTGGAGTCAGAGGTCACTGCTGGGGCATAGGCGTCTGGTGGACTCTCCTTGTCTCATACATGAGACTTTGTCTCAGGCCACAGCCACTCAGCCCACCTGAGTCCATCCACAGGGACTCTGCAGCCTGACCGGGCTCCTAGAACCTAAAACCACTGCCCCCAGAGTGGTGGGCAGGCCTCGGGCCCACAGCCCACCTTAGTGGAGAGAGGATGTCCTTGGACTGCAAACCCACGTGCTCACGCCAATAAGGCTGTCGGGGCCCTGCTGGGACACAGCCCAGGCCCGAGATCCGGAACACCCACAGAGGCTTACCTGGGCAGGCTCCCAGCAGTACCCACCTTCCTCAGCTAGTGGTTATGTTCCCAACTCTGTGCCCAGAGTGAGCCACCCAGAGGCAAGGGACGGGGGCTGCCCTGCTCCCCACTGACTAATCTGTAGACAGCCTCCCACGCCCACCTGGCTAGTGGGTGCCTGTCTGGGGGACACAGGTGCTCCACAAACCCAGTTCAGGAAACACTGTGCCTTTGGAGCAGTTGGTCTGTGGTTTGCCCTGCACATGGCCTGGGTGTATGCCCACCTTGGTTCGTGGGCCAGGGGTTCACGTGCCCTCTATGCCCTTCCTCTAATCCTAAGGCAGGGCCAGTCCATCCGGGGAAGGTTTGTGTGAGGAGGCCACTGCTGTAAAGCTGGCTTTTCCCAGGGAAATGAGATAATGAGAGTTTGCATCCTGACTGGGGCTCAGCCACAAACAGACCACATGTCCACCTCAGTCTGTAGTCAAAGCAAAAGCTCTCTGCAGGGTTTGTGTAGGCAGGGACCGCAGAGAGGATCTTGTGGCCCGTGGTTTTCATGTTATCTTTTTTAGCAACAAAAATCTTTCATCAAACCAAACCAAACTTAAAAAGCACAAAACACAGCACAGATGAGGGCAGAGCCTCTGCTGGAGGCACTGGGGAACCCAGGGGCCCTAGGAACATGGTTTGGGAACCACCGCCCACCCCGCCCCCGCCCCCACCCCCAGCACAGGATGAAGGCCATGGCTCTGAGGCAGAGCCAGCTGGAGCCTAGGACACAGTGGGTACTAACTGCTGCCCTCGGGCATCCCTGCACCCCCAGACTGGTCCTGCGACCACCTAAAGACACCAGGCCCTCACGGCCACGATTCTGAAGGCCAGTTCCAGCATGCGGCATCAGGGCCACAGCAGAGGGAGGCTCGGGGACTAGGCAGGCTCCCCTGAGCCCAGCTCAAGACTGAACAGGTGTCAGTCGCCCCCCTCAGAAATGAGAAAAGGGGCCCTTGGTGTCAGGGGGTGACCAGCACAAAGTCTGGAGGTGCAGAGCAGTTACAGGGCTGCTCAGTGGAGCTGCGGGGGACAGGCACGGGGTGGTTGGGAGGGGTGACGTGCTGTGGGCTGGCTTCGGTGGCCCTTATCCTTCCGGCAGGACATGAGGGATGTGCAGTCATCCAGGTAGCAGATGTCATGAAAGGGGCAAGGAGAGGCAAGGGCAAGTTCAAGAGGGTGAGCGGCGGCCTGGAGACAAGCAAGTGTGGAGGGGTTCCAGGGGGACCCGGTCTCTGGCCTGGCGGGGAAGGCGGGCAGTACGGGCAGGGCCACGGAGGCTCAGTGCTCTCACTGCCTCCGGTGACTTCTGGGGCTCGGTCTGTGCTCCCGCGGGTGCTGGGCCCCGGCAAGGATGCCCTGCCTTTCACCCTTTAGCTCCGGCCACAGGTCACCTCAGCTGGAAAGCCCCACGGCATCTGACCTCCCATTGTATTCCTCCCCCGGGGGACGTGACTCAGCCTGGGGTTCATGGGCCAGCCACAGGCCTGGCTCGCATCCCACTCACACTTCCACTCGTCCAGCGTGCGGTCCACGTCATCAAAGGACTCGTCATATTTCTGGGCCTCGGGCTCATCCTCCGTGTCGTGCAGTGACTCGAAGTAGGGGTGGGTGAGCGCCTCGGCTGCCGTCACCCGCCGCTCCGCATCCAGCACCAGCATTTTTTCCAGGAGGTTCACGGCTGGGGGGAGGGCGTGTTAGGCTGGGCCGAGGGGAGGGCCCCATGCCCCTCAGGTCCAACCCTACCCAGAGGGCTTGCGTTGGTCAGGATGGAGGCAAAATCCTTCTTCTCCAGCTCAGGCAGGCCCTTCATGTAGTCCTTGGCCTGTGCAGGAAGAAGGTGAGCAGGTGAGCGGCCAGCCCTCGGATGGCCCAGCCCCTCCTGCCCCGCCCAGCTCCCGACTGACATCGGCGCTCTGCAACCTCTGCACGAACTCATCCGGCGGTGTCCCCGTCACCTTCAAGATCTCCTTCAGCTGGTCCAGGTCTCCACAGAGCTCAGGAGCACAGCATGAGCCAGAGAGTGGAGGTCACCTGCCCACCCAACCAGGACGGTGTGCCTAGCCCCCACCCCTGCCCACTTGACCCCACAGGTATAGGATGAGCCAAGCCACCTGATCCCACAGGTGGAGGATGAGCCAAGCCGCCTGAACCCACAGGTGGAGGATACGGTCATTGCCCTTGAACAGAGTCTTCCCTGTGATCATCTCTGCCATGATGCAGCCCGCTGACCAGACGTCCACTGAGACAGAAAACCCCCATCAGGGCCCTGTGGGCCAGGGAGGGGGGACATGGACGCGGGGGCCATCTAGCCTGCCACACCCTTGTCCCATCCCAGCTCAGCAGCCTCCAGAGAGACAGCCACCATGGGGCTCCCGTGAGGAAACAGGGAGGGGAAGGGCCAGACTTGGAGGCTGGCGCAAGTGGTGGCCCCGTCGCTGGGCAGACTCACCCGTCTGCGTGTAGTGCATCCAATTCAAGATGACCTCAGGTGCCCGGTACCACCGGGTCACCACATAACCAGTCATCTCGCTGTCTGCCTGCCTGGCTAGGCCGAAGTCCAGGATCTGCAACCAGAATCAGGAAGGGGCGCAAAGGGGTACGGGGTACAGCCGTTGCCACCCCCAGCAAGTGCCTCCCCAGAGCACATCTGCCCATCAGCTGCTTGGCCATTGCCTGGATGACTGGTCCCTCCGCCTGGGCCTGGGCCAGTCCTCCTCCCAGGGTGTGGCAGGCAGGTGGGGAGGTGGGGAGGGACCCCCGAGGCCCGCCCCCAGCACATACCTTCAGCTCACAGTCCTCGTTCACGGCCAAATTGCCCGGCTTCAGGTCCTGTGGGCAGGGCAGAGGACAGGTGGCTGCGTGGCCGGCCAGCAGGGGGCGCAAGGGCAGGAGCCCAGTGGTGGCTGAGCCCAGGAGCAGGAGCCCCTGCAGCCTCTGGGAAGGGTGGAGGTGCCTGGGCCCCCAGGCTGCCGAGTACGGGCGCCGAGTGCACACCCCACAAGACCCCATGTGCCCACTCACAGGCAAGAAGTAGGAGTTGAGGCTCCCAAATGCCCATACAGCCAAGGGAGGCTCCCACCACCAGGACTCACCCTGTGGATGACACCAGCAGCGTGGATGTACTGTGGGGACAGAGAGGGCCAGTGGTGTCAGCTCACCGGGACCCCGCAGCCCAGACCCCTCCAGTGGCTCCCCTGCCCGTCCTCACCTTCAGCCCCTTCAGCATCTGGTAGACAAGGAACTGGATCCGGTCCTCACTCAGCTTCTCGTGCTTCATGAGCTTGCCCAGGTCCGTGCCCATGAACGGCATGACCAGGTAGCTGCAGGAGCCGGGCAGGTGGGCGGGCAGGGTGCAGACAGCAGGGCCACACCCACAAGGCAAGGCTCAGACCCGGAAAGGCCCCTGGCCCCCACCTCCAGTGCCAGACAAGGCTCCATCTACCTTCTCCAACCACCCGCCCCACCCCAAATGTCAGGTGGGCAGGGACTGGGCAGGCACGGCGCCAGGCCTGGGGCTGGGGAGCACCAGGTCTCAGAGGCCAGGGAGGGTGCGAGAGGGTGGAGGGAGGTGCCTGTGAGCAGGGGTGGGACAGCAGGACACTGGGGTGTGAGGGACACGCTGGGCAAGTGGAGGGAGACAAAGGGGAGATGTTTAGCACCCCACCAGGACACTGTAGGGCCTTGAGCTCTGCAAGGTCAGGCAGCAAGCGGCCAATCCTCCCAGCCCAGGCCCCTGACTCCTGGCTGACAACTGTGAGTCCAGGGGTGGCCACTTGGGCAGGCACCCACTGCCCACCTCCTGCCCATCAGCAAAGGTCAGCAGCTCCAGTTACAGCCACACATTTGGTGCCAGGGTCCCAGAGCCCGCAACCTGCCAGCTAACAGATGCCCAGGCCTGAGCCTCGTATCTCCAGCACTGGAGAGGGCCTGGTGGCAGGGGGAGGCCCGGGTTCTACCGGGCTGAGCCAGCACCGTGGCTCCCGGGGCACGTGGCAAGGGGGTAGACGGTGGTGTGGGGAGAGGATGGGCGGTGGGCATCCCGACCCTGTCCAGGCTGCAGGCGAGGCCCACCTCGAGCAGGACCCCAGGCCAGTCCAGAACCTGAAGCTGGCGCCGAGGAGCGACCCAGCACCCCTCCACCCTGCTCGGCCAGCCCCGGGCCAGTGCTCACAAGTCTGTGAAATCATCCAGGGTCTCATCAGGAGTGAACACGTCCAGCAGCCCGATCACCTGGGGAGGAGGCCAGAGCACCCGGTGGCATCGGGGGCAGAGCAGAGGGCACGGGGCTTGGACTCACCCCTGAAGCTGGCACTGTGCTCCAGGAAGGAAAGCCCCCTGCAATTGTCCCCATTTCCCCCCACCGTCCACAGGGCCCAGCTCTACCCCCTGGCAGCACAACACAGCCCTGGCACCCCTGCCCACAGATGCATGCTATTTTTGGATGGTGACAGCCTAGATCCTCTGGGGGAGGGGGAGCCCCAAGTCTGGGTCAGCTCCCAGCCATCCAAGGAGCTCCAGTTCCTTGGCCCTTCCTCCCCCTCTTCCTGCCCCCATTGAAGACTGGGGACCAGGATGGTGACAGCTTCCCAAGGGAGAGCCTATATCGGGAGGTACTTCCCAGGGCTGGGCCTCTGCTGGAGAGGCCCAGGCGAGCAGCACTGTGACCAAACCAACATTCAGACCTGGGCCCGCAGACCCCTGGTCAGGGGCGATGGACAGCAGACAGGTAATGTGACAACTGGCGCCTGGGGCTCAGGGTGACAGGGACCAGGGAGGCCTGCATATCGGAGCAGCCGGAGGGGCAGGCAGTGTGTCATGTGTGTGGGGATGCCTGGCCGAGGCCCTGTGACGGTGGTGGAGGCAGGAGGGAGATCATTTGAGGAACATGGGGCGAGGGGAGGCCGGGTGGCTGAGGCCCAGGCCAGGGAGTAGCCGAGCAGAGGCCAGAGGGAGACTTCGCAGGCCCTCGCAGGCCAGGTAAAGGTTTGGCCTTGGTCTTAGAGCCACCAGGGAAGGATTTAAACAGGCATGACACTGAATGTGGGACAGACTGGAGTTAGGTGAGAGTGGACATGAGCCGAATGGACAGCTAGATGACCACTAGTGCCTGAGCCACGGGCAGGGGGCGGCGGAGGGAACAGAATGGGACACCCAGAGAGGGCGCTGGGGCACCGGAAGGGTGTCTGAGCAAGAGGACAGAGGACAGAGTCCCGGGGGTTGAGGACTTCTGTGCCCGGGGCTGGGGGAGGGGTGCGGACGGGGCGGGCATGCGCTGTTCTCCCCGCTCAGAGCCTCCGTTTCCTGCGAAATGGGTTTACGGTAGGCCATGTCTCCTGGCTTGTGTGCAGGGTGCCCTGCAGGTGGTGGCGCCCAGCTGTGGGTGGGTCAGGAGCTCCGCAGGGGTGGCGGGAAGGACCCAGCACCGGCCAGGGGGGCGGGAAGGCCCAAGGATGGGGCTGGGCCAGCTCAGCGGTGACAGGCGACTGCACACAAGGCCCAGAGCCCATGGGATGGTGGGAGTGGGGGGCGGTGAGGGAGAAGCCAGAGGGAGCCTCAGGTAGAGAAGTCTGCCCCCCTGAGGACAAGGCCCAGACGTGACCAGGCGTGACCAGGACATAGCAAGGCCCAGGATGGGCTGGTGTCCGCCATGAATGGGTTCCACCTGGGAAGAGCCAAAGGTGGAGCCAGGAAGCCTGGGAGGATGGAGGACCCACTGAGGGGCTAAGAGTGTGGGCATCAGCCAGGGACCCAGGGGATGAGTCCTTCTCCTGTGGGGAGGCTCAGACAGCACAGGAGGGGACAGATCATCCATCAGAAGCTCCATCAGCAGGGCTCGGGGTGGCCAGACCACCAGCCGTCAGTGGCCCAGACTGGGCTTGATGCAGGGGGTGCTGGGCGAGCAGCATTCTGTCTTCAGGGGCGCTGCATGGAGAGAGCTCCCCTCGGCAGCCAGAGACCGTCGCCAAGGAGGCCCAGACAGCCATGTTTGCTGTCCGTGGGCAGTTCTGGAAATGGGGAGGGGGGAGGGGCTTTTCCTGGTGGGGCCCAATGCACCCCTCCCCACTGTCCAGGAAGGAAGAAAGCTTCTGTTTGCGGGCCACTGTGCCCAGAGCCCTCCACCACCGGGGACCCTAAGGCTCAGAGGTGACAGAGCCAGGATGCTGACTCCAATTTCATGCCTAGCTCTGTGTTCCCAGGGGCCCCAGGTCCTAGGGCCACACTCAGGAGAGGAGCCGAAGGGGCCGGAGAAGGTGCCTGGGTGGGACCACAGAGACGCCCGTAAAGAGGGCCGAGGCTAAGAGCCCCTTCCAGGAAATCAGTTCTGCAGAATTTGGGGTGAGACCTGGATGACGCCCTTGGCCTGGGCAAGCGGCTGTTCCCTCACCGGCCAGGGCTGCGGAGCCAGAGGTGACCCCAGGAAGAAACGGAGGCACTAAGCCCGGCCCGGGACGCCCTCGCCACTTGGAGCCCCGGCCCTGATCCACCACATGCACCCCACCACACAGGGGGCTGCTAAGTGGCCGAGAAGGAGGGACTCGATCTTGTAGGGCAGGATCTGGTGGGGAGCTGGAAGACGAGCAGAGGCGACGGACGCTTTCGGGCGCGACTCACGTTCTCGTGGCGCATGTGCTTGAGGAGGCGCAGCTCGCGGTAGGCGCGCTTGGCGAACAGCTCCGACTGGAAGGGCCGGTACAGCTTCTTGATGGCCACTTTGGCGCCTGTGCGGCTGTCCACGGCCGAGCTGCGCGACGCACGGCTTAGCGGGGAGGTACGGGCCACCCCGCCTGACACCAGCCACCCGCCCTGCCGCCCCTCCCAGCCTGCGCTCACCACACAGCGCCATAGGCGCCGGAGCCCACGGGCTGCAGGTCCTGGTACACGGCGCGCACCTCCCAGGCCGTCTTGGTCACCTCCTGTCTG